AAGCACCCTAATATTGAAGAAAAATAGAATCCTGAGCGGAACGAGGGTTTCAAGGCATGAGACCTTAGAGCATTTAGGACTTGAGGCGTCATCGGTAGGCAGTCCCCTCATGTCAAGGAACAAGTAAAAAATTACCATCGCACAACATACACTACTTTCGAATGGATGTTTTTTCATTTAAATAATCGAATTCACCGCGTTAACTGTGCGATAGCGAGTGGTAGGCGGGCGATGGGCGGAACTGAGGCGCGGGGAATGTTACAATTGCAATGGCCGGAGTGTCGTGGCCGTTTTTGGATAATTTTCTGAGGTTACATCTCAACATTTTAGAACTAATTTAGGGTGATACTAAAATAAAAATCACGTATGTTATATTTTCATCAACGATTATAATATAAAAATTTTGCTAGTGATAAAAAATCATGTTATTGTACTTGAAAGGAATTAATCCTTATAATTGACTCGTTTGATCGGCATCATATCACATTTGGTCGGTTCGATTCCCAGATGAAGCAAACAACTTCAAATGTCTTTGAATACAGTATTACTTTTAAAAATAAAGTAATGTCCGTATATGAAGCAAAATGTCTTATCTACAATATTTAAAGTATTTTCCCACCGTGTCCCGTATCCGTGAGACGCCCTGTAGGTATGTAGGAACATTGTATTAATGCCGGACGCCCTGAACGCTTTAAGTTTGTTATGAAGACCCATACCGAAAAGTATATTGTATGGCTTACATTTGTTTCTCTCATGAGTTTGGGTGTTATTTGTGATTGTCTATAAGTGTCCACGGCACCCGCGATACAGGGTTTTCACTTGTGTGGGGTTATGGGTGTGTGCGTTTTAATTATTATTATTGTTGATTAATTTATTTATTTTTATTTATATATTCACGGCAAACGATTTAATAAATACACACACAAAACACTACCAATTAAATAACATTTAAAGGATGTTCAATACCGCTGAAAGACAAAATTTATCGACATTGCTTTATTGCATTTTAGCGTGAAAGTGTTTGAAATACAAGCACTCCCTCCCTCTGTTTCGCACTGTACACAATGCTGGACAAACAATGATACATCCTTTTGTAAGCAGCACGCTCTCGGTTTACAGTGTACAACGCCTCTTACAAGACAAATAAACATTACAGATTTTAATTTGTACACTAAGTAATGTAAATGGATGCTATATTTTATATTCTAAAAACAGTGACACACTGTAGACACACAAGTGTACCTATTCATTAGCATATGCATTAGTTACTAATAAGTAACATTAATAAATATATTAATGAATAATTTTACAGAGTCTATGTCAAAGATTAATGTATTCCATAGATAAAGTAAATTTAACACTTGAAAACGTCACTTTTAAGCTACTGCTCGTTCACAATGCTGACTTCCCTGAGAAGAACGAGCAAGAAACTCTAGCGATTGGTCTTTTCAAATAAACTTGAATGCTATGGAATACACTTTGAATAAAATTTGGGTGGAATCCTAAAGCCATGTCATCTATCCATACATCTTTATCTAACACGTACTTTTCGATTTGTCTGTGTATAAATAAAATATTTTAATGTAGTTTACTTAGGAAATGAAAATCATATCTGCTCCGGAATTTATTGTAAAAACATATAGTTCCCCATAAAAGAGTCATTTACCTTGGTTAAACGAAATAGCTCTAAGGTTAATATAATGGATGTCTTCTTTCTTATTGAAATTACGTATATTTTTATATAAGCATATAAAATATTTGAGTAAATGTACTGTGATGCCACAGTCATGATACCAGTCTCCTTAAACGTTTCTCTGAAAGGTAGGTTCCCGAGAACCTAAACAGAACGAATCGCTCGTTTTTGCAGTACAAATAATGATTTGTATGTCTGCCGCTTTACCCCACATGAGACTCCCTTAGAAGATTATACTATGGAACTAACTAAAGTAAACTAGTCTAGCAGTACTAACATCGGTAAGCTCACGTATTCTGCGAACTGCGTATGCACCTGTGCTTAATCTGCTGGCGAGGGAAGATATATGTGTAAACCATTGAAGTTCACAATCTAAGGTCACTTCCAAGGCTGCTTTATTAACAAGGTCTAACTTTTCTCCGTTTATTTCTATGCTTGAACTAGTCGATTTTACGCTAGGTAATTCAAATTGAACACACTTTGTCTTCTTGACATTAAATCAATAAACTACCTTAGAGAGGCTATCGTTAATATGGTCATAGTTAACGTCATGTACATATGTCAGCAAATAATACTATTTCGCAATAGTCCTTAACAGAGAACGGCAGATCATTAACACAAATGAGAAATAAGAAAGGTCCAAGTATTGAGCCCTGCGGAACACCTATTTTTACCGGAGAACCCAAAGAAGTCACTCCACTTATGTCTAATTTCTGAATTCTACTTTTATTGCCCAGGTATACTGGCTGAGGGCATTATATTTAGGCTTGTAGTCGACTGCACATAAAGTCGCTAGTAAAAAGTTAGTACGGGTAGCATAAAGCATTTGCGATAAGCGAATAAGGACGTTGCACCGTGATTTCGGTCAAGTCAACACACCGGGGCGCCGACTGGTGATCAATTAAACGTGTTTACGCAAAGATTGCTGTGTCAAGATGTATTATGGTTTCTTGCAGTACACCTACATATCTTTGGCAAGTAAACTCAAGTGTAGGAATAGGAATGCACACGTAACTATATTCACGCTCTTTGTATAGGCATGGTTATTGTGCCGTTTGCTTCTTGGGTTAGACTTATGACCATTTTTACAATACTAAATGGCGGCACGAACAAATTGTGTTCCAGGTGGTAAGTGACACACCAGTACATAATAGTTGCAGTATCACTTAGAGCTCGCCCGGCACTGTGAAACATAAGTTGGTAAGTCCCATGTGCTTGTAATTTCACCAGCAGCCTTACCCTTCGAAACCGGAACAAAGTAATCTTCACATTACCGCTTGGCGGCAGAAATAGGTAAGTTGGCAGTACTTGGACGAACTCTTTCACAAGGAAGCTCTAACTACTCTAACTCTGAAACCTCGGTGGCTCAACTGGTTAAACCAGCGTGCTGGTTTTGATTCAAATCTGAATTAATCCGACCGGGTAGTCTCGAAATCAGTTGGGTTTCTGAGCTAGAAGATGAACCTGATTCCTACTATATCTTTCTAATTTGTGAGTTAAGTCATCTATTGTTCTGATTAGATATGTCAAAAGTTTCCGATCGGCCAGCTGTCAATTGCAATTATGCGCCTTGACTCAGAAAAGACGCAGTTTCCGATCGGGAGAGGCAATCAAAATCACGCTGTAGGGCGCGCGCTGTATGAGGAGGTTCCAGGTAGGACCGATTTGAACCAAAATGAACTTATGTTCACGGCTGGTACGTTATTATTAATATAATAAAACTTTATTAACATCATGCGTCTTAGAATTTGGTCGAGGAATTGCTTATTTGACAGTTATTGTTTCGGACGGAGAACGAGAGTACAGGGCCAGAACCGATTTAGAAAAGTACATTTCCCAAACTGGTTCTACCGGGAATGGCACCCGGGATCCCCGCATGTAGCGCCCACAGTATAAACCGTTAATAATAATGACACACTCATAGCCCCGCACTAAGGAAACCCTACATCGCGGGTGTCATGAACACACACATAGACAACCAACCACACATTAAATCCAAACTCACGAGAGAAATAAATGTAGACCATACAACTATTTCTCCAGGCTAGGGAATCGAACCCGGGACCTCTGAGTGGCAGTCCAGCATGGCAACCATTTGGCCACGGAGGCAGTTGTCCCAAACTGGCTCTGGTCTGGTGTTTTGGGTAGGAAATGTCCTGGTCTAAATTCCGTTACTCATACTGGTAATATGCGACATTATTATTGTTTTGCTCGAAAAAGTAAATTACGAATAAGCTTGACAAAATTGTGTTTTTTTTATTTATTTATTACATTTTGAGCACTAAAAAAACAAACCATTCCAGCATTTTTCCGTATCCCGCTCATTCGTCGTACAAATAATTTCCATGTGTAGTGTGTGCGTTCGTACTGCTGCGTGTTGGCATTCCTCTAGTGTGCGTGAGAGTCGTTAATAAAGGTGTCACTAAACCTTGATCTTTGCATGTTCATCGCATCCCACCGCTGAACACGAGTCTATTCTAATAAATGGTCGTGAACAGTACTTTAACAATACATTTAAGATTAACACCTATGTATGTTGTTAGTTAAAATTAGAAGGTTATAATTATTATGTAATTCAATCACGTATTAATTTTTTATAGAAAGTAATTTTTTAATTTAGGTTTGATGTTTTTACAATTTAACAATATTTTTATTTCTATATATATTTTATATTACATATTTTAATTTATTTTTACCATAAAGATTTCGATGAGACGGTATCAACAATTTATTATTATAGAAATTTCGCGTCTTCATTTCACCACTGTAAGTAGATTGTAAACTTTTATCAAAAAAGTGTTCGACTAGCAGCATATATTTTAATTTTTCATGTATAGGGAGTATTTTGCAGTGGTGGAACAAACCGCGGTAATCGTCTTTGTACTTTCATTTAATTTTAGAAGGTGCTATGGTTTTTAGTATTCTTAGTTGCATTCCGTAAATTTTATCTAGGATTTTATCGAGGTGACCTTTACAAGTTAGGCCGTAGCTGGTAAGTCCGTATCCAATTATTGATTCTCCGAGAGATTGATATATATATACAGTATACAGGTTGCATAAAGTAGAGTAAGGAAGTTTATTTTTTATTATGGCATAATTTATTCGCTGTTTCGTCTTATGCTTACTAAATCCTTACCAAATACAAAAGTTCTATGCCCCGGCCTCAGCCGATAGATGACAATGATGTCATTCCCTGACCGCGAGCAAACATCTAAGCAACGATAACCATTAATAAATAAGTGCGTGATAACGGTCGGAGGGGTCAAGAATAAAAACGTAATAAAACTTAATAACGAGTTTATTGGACTTTCGTTCTATGTACAATTCTCTTATGTCTACTAACGCATCCCGCAGTGCGAAATGTTTTTCCGCATTCTGGACAACTGTATGGTCGTTCGTCCGTATGGGTTCTAGCGTGTACGCGTAAAATATCTAGAGTGTTGAACCGTTTCCCACACGTCTCGCATTCAAACTTCCTCTCGTTGGCGTGGTAAACAAAGTGTCGCCGGTATTGAGCAAGGATGTGGAATGTTTTCCCGCACACTTCGCACTTTTTCCGCGGCGTAGGATCATGAATAGATTTATGTATAATTAATCCACTTTTAAATTTAAATTTCTTGTCACAAACATCACAGGAATACGACTTCCCGCTTGAGTGTGTATCCAAATGACTCTTCAGATTCCTTGTGTGTTTACCGCATATATCGCAAATTTTGTAATATACATATTTGTCTTTGCGCATTTTCTTCTTCTTTCTAATTACTTTTGGTGCTGCTTTTCTTATAACGGATTTCTTTTCGGGTTTAGCATCTCTGGTCATAAATAGCTGTGGAATTGCTCTAATATCCTTGTCATTTAAATCGTTGTCAAAATTTGTATCTATATCTTCTATTGATTCCATACTTGCCTCATCGTTCGTTTTTATCGATTCAATTTCAACTATTTGTAGTGTTTCATTGTGATGCTCATCTGTTGTATTCTCGGTTTTAATATTATAAGGTGTATGAATTGCTTTTCTGTACACTTTGTCGGACTCTTGGCATTTCCGTCTAAATTTGTATGCGTTTTCTAATTCTTTGACGCAGTTGAGGCAGATTTGTGAAGGTAAACTGTCTGACGGGTCAACCTAAAATTAATTTATTAAACTTGAATCCTATTACTGCTACTACAAAATTGGAAAACCTATGCAAAACTGGATTAATTTTACATGTAATAAAAATAATTAATTTTTCAATTAAGATCGCTTACACAAGGCGACTTTTAGTAACGATACAAAACCACGATTGTATCGATACAAACACGCGATTGCATCGATGCAAACGGCCGGCAGCATAGATGCAAACACGCGATTGCATCGATGCAAACGGCCTGCATATGTGCGCAGGCGCTTATCGTCGTAAGAGTGAATACCTGGTATGTGATTTCTATATAATTTTTCATGACGAAGATAAAAATGTGGTGTAAAATGCAGTAAGCGCAATAATGTTTGTAGTTAGCGTTTTAATTAGTTAAATTACACCTCTTTCAGATACCATATTACTTTAATAAATAATTAAGTTTTTCATCAACAAAAATCAATAAAAGCGAACTATGTGAAAACGCGTATGCGAGGTTTTCACTTTAATGCGACGTTATGTTGAATCATTATGTGCGAAAAGTCTGTCCAGGTTATGCACATTGTTTTGCTTTGTTAATTGTAAATTTAAAAGTGAAATAAATTAATTAAAAACGTGAACCGCGTTTGCATCACTGCCTTAAGTCGCGCGTGTGTGTAAAGACGATTAGCGACTGCATCGCTGCTAACGGACTGTAGAAGTCGCCGTGTGTAATCGCTCTCAAAGTTTTACGGGTTTATATAACCAATGGTCGGAATAAATAAGATTTAGGTGAAAGATTAGTTTCAAAAAAGTAATTAATTAATATTATCCACTCTGTCACTCCTTGTAGATATTATCTTCTCATTTGGAACACTGTATTCCAACCATTGATAATAACAATAAAACGTACGTTGGTATATAGAGAGGTATTGTAACTAAATACAGATTTAAATACTTTCGTAGTTATAATGGTTATGGCTAATTAAAGGTTTCTTGCCATGGTCTGATTGAAATTTATATAAAATATCGGGGAAACAAAGAGAAATCATACCGTGGCAAAAAACCTGTCATTAGTGATAATCATTGTAATTAAATTCCATTCTTAAACCTGGGTCCAGTACTGAGACGTATTTAGGTTGGAACTAGTCAGTCACATATGTACATATGGTTGGAACTAGTCAGTCACATATGTACATATGGGACTGACTAGTTCCTTAAATTAGACTGTAGACTGTAGAGGTCAATAGATATTTCGAAATTTTATCGAATTTTGCTTTTGTCAGCGCTGCTATCAACACAATTTGATTTTTTTTAATGATATTAAGAGACGGGACGAACAAGTCGGTGGGAAAATTTTAAATCACAAAGATCTGAAGGGCACTGCCGCTGCGCCTGTCACCATGAGACATAAGTTGACAAGTCCCGTGTGCCTATAGTTTCACCAGCACCCTTACCCTGCAAAACCGGAACGCAGTAATGCTCACATTACTACTTGGCGGCAGTATTTCCCTGGGCGTACTCTTTCCCAAGGAGCTGTACTGCTACTCGACTACTACAGTAGCAACGACTTATTTGAAATTATTTAAATGTTAGCTAGGACGAACCCTTCAACAGAATAATTTTGTATTATAAATACTTTATATACCCTTTCTGACAAATACTTTGTAAAGTTTGAAACTCACCTTAACATCTCCCATAAGTCTCAACTTTTCAGCTAGAACATTGCCACCCTCATCCACATGTTCGAATATATTAACACAACCCTCTTCATTAGAACATGACCTACATTGATTCGCGTCCATGTACTCGCACTTGGGCTTCACTTGCAGTTCTAACTTTTGCTTTAAATCGAACAATTTCATATCGTCTTCATAATCATTATCGTCTAATGTATCGTTACAATTGTCGTTATAATTATTTATTTGGTTTTCAACTTTGTGTTTTATTACTGTTGGCGTACGGTCTTTAATTGCGTCATACTTGGTCATCGCTTCGTAGTATGGCCATTGTTCAGTTAGGATACCTTTGTTGGCGAATTTCTTTTTCCACTGAAATTTTGGTAATATTTAATAAATGTATTCTAAAGATTTGTTAGAAACGGTCTAACTTTCGACCTCGGCATATAACTGGCATAACTTCTATATTGTAGTAGGGAGGAAAATATGTAGTAAACAGGTATAATCCATCTAAGATAAGAGATCAGTGGCCCTAATCTCGAAGCACGAAATCCTAAAGTTTCGATCGGGGCTAGAACTAAGAATGTATGACAGTTCTGAATGGGCCGTTTGACAGTTTCGAACCCGTCTTTTCGTCGACAGATTTCCAAAGTAGTACCGTAGATCATTCATTAAACAAGAGCCAATATGATTGCCCGCAGGTTTGTTCATTGTTCAATTGAAGTGAAGGCAACTCTATTTAAAGCCTTCTGTACATCTTTGTATACAAGCCGGCTCGTGGGCGCATTATACGCAAATGCAGTACGGTGTTCTGTGTGTGCAATTCACTCGTGACATGACATTCATCACTCGTTCACGATGCTGCTGGGGCTGCCCAGATACTACAGCGGGCGTAACTACGGATTTCGTGCTTCGAAAGTCGGATCCCAGAATCGTGTCGAGTTTATGAACATTCTTTTTTGAACTTGGCCATTGGACTTGACAAACTTACCCTGTAGGTTTTAAGTAGATGTGTCCAGATATCGGGTAAATCTAACAAGCTGTGGTCCAATGGTAAACCAATACTTCGCAGTCTTTTTTCCACCTCTCTACGAAAAAACCACGACGTTAGGTGATGGTTTATTTGTAATAGTATATAAAATGGTTTGTTGCAGTCAACATGTTGGATTCCATACTTTGGACCGTTAAGTGACTTATGGCCATTTAAGTACCAAGCCTTAAACCAATGCTTAAATTGACAAGATGCTTTTAATATATGTACTGAGAGGGTTTAAAACGTACTTAAGTTCAGTACAAGTGAACAGTTGAATGTAAAGGGAGAAGAGCCGTTGTCTGTTTGTTAAACAACCAGATATATAATATATTTCTGGTGAAAACCTAACAACTTATAAATTTCGTGATTGTTACACATAGGAAATGAAACTATTTTTCCGGATTTAAATCGTGTAATTTTTTTTTAAACAAACCTAAAAATAAGAAAATAAGCATTACTCCACAACATGTTGTTCCTGTGTAATAAATATGTTTAAAAAAACAAACGTGATTTAAATCCGGAAAAATAATTTCATTTCTTACAGAAATATATATTTATTACAGCACAACGCATTCTTCCCTTTATTTGACGACTTACGTGGCTCAGCGCTTAGCATTAGATGCGGAGGTCCCGAGTTCGATTCCCGGTAGAACCAAATTAGGAAACGAACTTTTCAAAATTGGTCTGGGTGTCTCTGGTTCTCACAGTATAAGAAATTTCCTAGCTTCAGACCAGGTTACCTGGCACTATCATTATTATTGATACTAAGATCGGACAATTCAAAAAAAATCCATCGATCTGACTGGAATCGATTCCTGCTAGAACCAAATTGGGAAAACTTTTCAAGATTGGTCTGGGTGTCTCTGGTTTTTATAGTATAAGAAATTTCCTAGATTCAGGCTGGGGTACAGTCAAGAGCATGTCAAGCTTGACACATTGTACTTTGGACCGTTCTTATCGTAAGCGGCATAGAGTTGGATTTAAGTCTTAAGTGTCAAGCTTAACGTCCCTACCTCTCTTGACCCTACCTGGCACTATCATTATAACTTATACTAAGATCGAACAATACAAAAGACTGTTTTCATAGCGGGTCAAGCAAGTTATTTTTCTTTGTGTTAGATCTTTCTATCAATAATGAACTAATGGAGCATTTGGACAAAAAATATTTGAATATCCTCGGTAGTAAAACATCATGATTCAACAAATAAGTATGACACTATTACTGATATTATGAGCAATGAAGTTTTTATTTAAGATACACTCACCTCCATGATTGGTCCTTATAAGATAATTTGAACAAATGTTCTTGATCTATTCTAGCATTTATAAGATGTGACACCCATTCTTCTTGCCCTGTGACGACAAAAAATAATCGGTATTTATACATGACTTTGTTCTCAATTCCTTAAGCTGTCCGTTCACTAGACTATATTTCACTCATTTTATGTCCAGGTTGCGGAAGGTGTGTCTTAAAACACGCGAATTTTCTTTAGCAAAATTCTTTTGTTCACTGTAATGGCGAAGTTAGATACGTTGTCTAGTGTATAAAAAGCTTTGCAATACAAAAATACTTCATTACACGTCTAGAGACATTAAAATATAACAACTAATAACATAAAATAAGTATTACTCTACAACGTGTTGTTTCTGTGTAATAGGCCAATTTATTAAAATAGAATAATATCTTACAGCCAATAAGCGGGTTTAAGCTGAGATTTCCCTCCCCTAAGTAGAGCTCGAATAGGTTGTAGTACACCCAAGATTTGTTGTTTGTAGCCTTCGCTTTCTGGAACTCCTGTTTACAAAAAAAAAATCAAGTACAGACGTTGTCATGAGTTTAACATTAGATATTGACTAATAAAGTTTCGTATATAATTCTTAGAAATACACAAGTCATATATATATTATATATAAGCAAGTGTGGGACGAACAAGTCGTGCGCACGGTGGTAAGCGACACAACTTTCATTCAACTTTCAAGTCATTAGCAGGTGCAGTGCCACTTAGAGCTTTAAATCGCAAAGATTTAAGGGGCACTGCCACTGCGCCCGTCACCCTGAGACATAAGTTGATAGGGTTATATGTGCCTGTAATTTCACCCTTACCCTTCAAAACCGGAACGCAGTAATGCTCACATTACGGCTTGGCGGCAGATATAGGCAAGGTGGCAATACTTTCCTGGACGAACTCTTTTACAAGGAGATCTACTGCTAATAAAATAAAACTAAACGATATACTTTATTCTTCACGCACGAGACCAAAATGGTACATAGATGACTTAGAATATTAATATTAGTGCGCTAAGACGGACTTATCGCTAAGAGCGATCTCTTCCAGGAAAACTTTGAGGCAGACGAAAACTACTGATAGGAAGATGCAGGGTGCTAATGGTAAAAGTTTAAAAGCGTATATAAACATATTTCTTGTATTAAATAATAAATAAAGAATATATATCATGCAACAAACGTATTACGAAACAAACTTACGGAAAATGTAGCCGCCCATTTTCTACAGATTTCTCTACCGGTTAATGTTTTCGGGAACCCATACTCTTCTTTCATGGTGGCTAGTAAGTCGCTGCAATTAACATTTTATTGTGTATTTACTTTTTAGTTTCCTGTGCGAGCTCCATAAAACCATTGTTAAAATATGTTATGTACAGTCGGTGCCCTCACTTAAGTATCCACTACTTGTATAGCACTTAGTACAAATAGTGGATACCTAAGTGAGGGCACCGACTCTGTACATGGATGATAAAAATCCACGGTAGCTAACTCTGGTTATATACTCTATGGTAATAACTAATAACCCGTTTAACACCTGCAGGTTGTATTGATCTGATTGTGACGACGAGACTTTCTTGACAGTCGTCTTCATAAAGCCTCAAATTCATTTAAGGAGCAATGTATACGTTTCTATAATAAGATTCCGATTGATATTCAAAATTTGCCATTTACGATGAGTAAAACTATTGTGAAACAAAAACCTTATACTATAGGTTATTATAAAACTTCTGCGCACTTGGATGTCAAAAATCCGTGATAGTAACCCGTTTAGCTCTTTCAGGTGTTCTCGATCTAAGATGTTTAAATTAAATGTTGTAATGATAAATATTTACAAAGAGCAACCCCTAGAGTTTCTTGATCATTCTTCTTAAGGGAATCTGCCTTATGAATGAGCGGTAGAGTTTAATCAGTATGACAATTTCAAATATAATTTTCGTACCTATGAAACAAAGATTATTTGATTTCAACTGCGAGAGATTTTTCACACCGCTTTTCAAGGTGCCACTATCTCTAAGGTCCCTGGTTGGATTCCCTGCCGGGTTGGAAACCAGCTTTCTATATTGTCTCGGGTCTGGGTGTTTGTTGTACTGTCATTGTTTTCGATTTCCATATCATAAGTGCTTTAGTTACTTACTTTGCGATCAGAACCACGTATGTTATGTTGTATAATATTTATTTATTTATCGTATTTGATGTAAATCTTGTAAATGATAAATGTATCCAAAAGTTTATTTACAAAAGGCAACCCCGAGTGCAATTTACTACCTATGAAATAAAGATGGTGGAAGATTATGGAGCTTGCATAGGGAATGTAATTTGAATGCGGAATAACTTTTTTTCAACTGGTATAAGCTTTACGTTTATATCAATCTCAGTTAATAGGAAGTTAATAATAATTACAATAATTCACAACTTACTTCCATGCCCACTTTCTCTCCCTGAACAGCCAATCGTTTTGTAACCTGATCTGTATGAATGTCTCCGTGATATCCTTGGACCCTAAAATAAAACGTTTATACATATAATAATGCGTATTTCCAAATTTTGGATTACAATAAAAATAATAAAACTACGATAAGTTTAAATCATTATAAGATGTATACAAGATAAATAAATGTTTTTTTCTTTATGCGACTGTGGACATTTGAAATGTCGTAAGGAATATTTTGTCGTAAGGTCAAAATTTCCCTTAGGACAAAATGTCCCTTACGACATTCCAAATTTCCGCCATCGAATTATGATACTAGTCTCTCAAAAAGGTAACTTGTAACATTAATTAATAAAAGCTTTAAAACGATTTTCACGTTCCCAATCAATTAGTTAATCAGGCTACTGAACAGAGAAGTTACACTTAGCAACTGCAAGATTGTACATAACTTAAGGTCAATTTTAAACAATGACAAATTTTGTACACAATGCTTATATACTATTATGTATAGATGTAGCCCACCGTATACGGTAAATCCGTTAAAATGTTTTATTTACTATAGTATAACGTGGCTCAACTCGACGTTGCGTCGTAGTGTTTACTTTGCGTATGGATGGCGCAAAGTCCTACTCGTGCCATGTGAGCTCCTCCAGGAATCTTAGCATCTTCTTGGGCTTACTGAAGATTTTGGGGGGCGACCTCAGCCCTTCAAGATATTTCGCTTTGTAGTTGTTTATGTATAGTAATGAACCAAAATATTGTTCCATATGAAAATTCATGTTATGAATCCATCTGCAATTTGTTCTTAAAGCTATAAACGTACCCGTTATATGGTCCTGTGATTTATAATCAAATGTTTTTTGTAACATTTCTCTGCCTCAGTTAACTTAACAGTGCCTAATTTACTATGTAACAGAACACACAAAAATGATTTCTATACTCACACTGAAACTCCTCTTCAATAACATCGGTATCATCTCTATTTTTAAACACATAATTGTTGCTAGTCTTGCGTTGTCTGTACTCTACTCCCGTTTCGGTCTCCACCTTTATGAGATACTTTGGGTCGTTTTTGGTGTAATACTCTAGCACCGCGCCATAGAGAGGCCAGTCTGACGATTCTATGCCCTTCTTTTGTTTCATCCGGTGTTTCCTCTGTAAACAGACAAATTTATTAATACACACATCGGCACATTTCGCGGAAGACTACTTAAATCGTATTAATACTTAACGTAGTAATACTTAAATCGGTCACGGTTGACCGTTGAGTCAACCGTGACCATGGAACCTGTAAAGGGCCCGAAACGTCGGTTTGTTTGAAAAAACAAATGTACGCGATTTAAATCCGGGAAAATGGTTTCATTTCCTATGTATAACAATCGCGAAAACCTAAGAACTCGATAATATACATTTTGTTTAACTTCGATTTCTTTCAATAAACTTTGAGTAAAACTACTAAATCGATGTTTAAAAGATGATTATTTAATTGCAACTTTATATATACTTCGTATTTATTTAGATATAAACGTTACTATTTTATAATCTCACTATGTTTTCGTTCCACTAAATATGCCGCTATGTGCATTAAAGTACCGGTTTCTCTATTTCAAAGTATTTATTATCTATTTTTGCTAAGAGTTCACCAATCCATCCAGGCCTTATATCGATTTTGTTTGACCACTCTGTATAGTTATTTTTGTCATGTTATCTGTGATAGTAGTAACTCAGATTACAAAACATAGGCAGATGGAGCGCGCCGAACACGAAAATGAAGCCATCAAAGCAAATACAAATTCAAAAGCGAATACAAACTCGCGTCAGTACTAAGTTCAGCGTCACACTGTTTGCACGTCACGAGTAATTAGTTATTTTATGTTTAAAAATGCCGTCTTGTAAAACATTGTAAAAGTTGTTCACAAAAACAAAGAAAATAAGATGGAATATCTGTTCACAGGGAACTATTGTTAATTTAAATGTTTTGTAATTTATTTACCAGATATTTTTTGAGATTCACTCGGAACACAAAACCTCGACATAAATTCGTATGTGTTGCCAGTTTATATCGAAATGAGTTTCCTTAAATTATGTAAATATGCATGAGTGATAGGCCCATCGAATAATTCGTGCTTTTTTATAGAAATTAAATAATGCATGCATATACACACAGAATGGTCCAATTACAACGATCCAAAATTGTTTTAGGTACCTAACTCAGATTTACCTAAATTATTCTCAAACCCATCTCGAGTGGCCATAATGTAACATAAAAGAAAATGTTCAAAAACAGCTAAAATTTTAGCCCTATACTGCCCTCGTAACGAAAAAAAGGCACAGCTATGCGTACTTTAGCAGTTGTGCCTTTTTTCGTTCCGAGGGCAGTATAGATACAGAGAACTTTCACTTTTGTGTACACATGTCATAAACAAACAATTTTAGTCAAATTAGAACATAATCGTCAATGCTATTGAATTGATTATAAAGTTAATTTAAAAAAAAATAATAGAAAAATATTTGATGGTCAGATTGCTCTACATATCAAAATTAGAAACGAATGCACGATGTATAGACACGAAACGGTAGTATTATAAATAAAATAAAAATTAGCACTATCAAAGTGTTCCAATTTAAAATGTCTTAATAAAATATTCTTTCCTTTGTGTGATGTAAATCAAATAATAACAATTAAATATTAACTTATATTGCATATAATTTGTCTGATATCCTAATACCACTTAAGTACCTATATTGCAAAATAACATTTCCAGTTTGTAACAGTATTATAGAAAGCAACAGACAAAAATACGGGAGTTTTTTCGAAGCATCTGGCAATCTTACACGCACACAAATGCGCGTATCTACAGTCCTAGTTGTCACGCACACAATAAATGAAAAGTGGCTTCACTTCGTTTCTTGCGTATGCTCCATCTGCCTATTGTTTTGTAATCTGAGAGTAGGAAGAAGCTTTTAGTACGAATATCAGCAATAATGTTATGTCGATAATGTACGCCGATAGTGCATTCATAATATGGAGCATTTAGTGCCAATTCCCATCTTCAATAATAAAGTAACATACTTTGGAAAGTAGGTACTATTTTTGGAAAACTGACTTAAAAAAAGTTACGTACAAAATACTACATGTATATATTTTTAGTTATATTTAGACATTAATCATATTTGGCACTAGTCAAATTGCATATTTGTCTGTCTGTGTAAGGTTTTTTATAGTAATATAAATTATAATTATTAATACAAATAATTAAAAACAAACAAATAATAAGAAAAAGTCCCTTCGATCTGGCTGAATTCGAACCAACGTTTTCCAGCAAACCATGCCAGCCGCTATGCAAACTAAGCAACGGAACGAACAAAAAATTACAATTATTAAAACGACATCTGTAGTCAGCTGCTGGTAGCTATAAAGGTACCTGGCTGAGTGAAGAAAAGCTTTCATAGATTTCTCACAGATGGCGCTACGGCAAAAAAGTCGTTAAAAACCAATAACAAAGATCTGCAACAACCACATAGAATAATTCGTAAGGTCCGCTAGTTCGTTCCGTGGCTTAGTTGGCGTGGCGTCTGATTTGCTGGTAGACGTTGGTTCGAATCCAGCTGGATCGAAGGATTAAAAAATTATAACAAGCTTAAAAATTATAATATAAATTTTATATTAATCAAAATACTATTGGTATTATTTTATAATTTATAATTCAAATATAATAATCCATTTTCGAAGTGACTGTACACTCCCTCCTACCTCTGCATTTGCATTGAAATCGAGTCTAAGCACTGGGCATTTGCATTCAACTAAGAGAGTGACAAAATCCATGTCTGTCCTTTAGAACATTGGAATGTCTTTTGTGAGTATGCATTTAAACGTTGACACTAATATTATTTAAATAAGACTTATGTATGTATATGTGGCTTTGTTATTTGTTATACAAATATAAAAGTATAAAGGTGGTTACAGATTTGAGCAAGGCGCTTCTTACAACGTAATCGGCATTTTGCGGCAGGTTATGCGCGGTGCTACGCACTAAAAAAGGTCGTAAGTCGTAGTCTTTGTGGTCGTAATTGCACAGGAATTTATTTTTTTTGTTAAAAGTAACACTGTTGCTTAGGAATAAAAGACATACATTAAAGGTCATCCTTATGTGATGCCATAGTCCTTGAATGTCTTGTATGCAGCAATTTTGGGGCAAATCTTGACATCTCATTGCTCTCTCAACAGTTCTGTGAAACATAGTTTAATTTTAGTATTACAAACTGAAATACGCATTTAAAAAAAATATGAATTACAGGAAATAAAATTCATATACCTCCACATGTTGTAAAAGTCTAGTTTCAAAACTGTAGTCTCTGTTATACATGTTATTAACTTTAACCTCCATTCGTCTGACCCTGTTGAATAAATTTATTAGGTTTTATTATTATTTACATATAAAAAAAAACACAGTAGCATTAAAATTGTGTAGCAATATAAATCATAAAACTAAAAGTTTTCATTGCTTAAAGGGACTCAATAAAAATTCGGTTTTCCCCATTTCAACTAACATCACAGTTATTAATGGTAGAGTCAGTAGTTACACTCCACCCATTTTTAGCAAAACAATAATGATACTTATGACGCCATTGAGATAATGAAGTCACAAACAAGTATTACCGCGCCTACCAAGTCGTGATTTCTTAATATTTACTATCTACTTATAATTATTTTATAATGCCAATGAAATTTTATCATTTATCTCATTTATTTATTGATTCTTGTCAAATGCCCTAGAAAGAGATTTTAATAACTACAACAAAATTAGCAGGAGAATTTACTCAACAATTGAATTTATGAGATGTTTTATAAACAGGGACCGAAATAAGCATAGTATATTTATCTAAATTAAATTTAAACTTTTGAAGACGAGAACTAATAGGCATTATATAGGTGCGTTGCAGTTTTTGTCATTTTTCATCAAGTGAGATACAAGGTCAAATGCACACTTATTTTATCAATAACAAAAACAAACTAGATAAATTTCAAGTTATACAATTAGAGTGAATTTTACCTCCATCTGAAATCCCAGAATGATACAAAAATAAAAAGCAAAGAGCAAATACAAAATAGTTACAGTTTTACTTGGAATTACAAAACTTTTATTCCGAATACACTACCATAGTAAAGTCATCTTTGGCTAAATTTGTGAACCTCATATAACCTACTGTGAAACCTTAATGTGAAATTTTGAGGAGGCACAAAAAACAGAATTACCAGAAATAATTATATGACAATCTATATTTTATAACCAGAAAAGGATCTACAAATTAAATTTTGAGCGTTAATTGCCCAATAATGTGCTCAAAGAGTAAAACAGGTATTTTGTCCAAAAACAGTCTTACAGGGTTTTCAAATTTAGCCAACGCATTGCTAGTTACACATCAAAAATACAGAGCAAAATACTATTCAATAATTCCAAGATTTCATAGTGACGTATCCACTTTATGTGTATTACTTCCTTGAAGTTTTATTAAAACAAAAAAAATTGTCTATTCCAATCTCTGTTCATAAGATTAACATACTAGGAACCTTTTTAATTATCTAGTGGTTTTTTTTTTGGATTCTGAAAGTTTTTTGTTGTCTGCTTATAAGATATGCACCATGAAACCTTTTTATTTTTTTGTGGTTTGTTTTTAGAATGTAAAAGTTATTTGTTGTCTGCTTATAAATGTACACAAGAGAAATCTTTTTATTTTTCTAGTGTCTCTTTTTGTAATATGAAAGTTATTTGTTGTTTGCTTATAAAGATATGCACAAAAACAGCTTTGCCATTTTTTAGTTTTTTTTTTAAGTATGAAACTGATTTTGTTGCAATATTGTTTGTGATATTTACTTACATGAACTGTACTTATCCAGAACCTTAGTTTTACCAAATATTTTCTCAAACTGCTTGTAATATGGCCAACTCTTATTCTTTGATTTCTTCGCTATTTTGTACATCTGAAAGAAACCACACAATATTGAAATCATTTACTTATTGAGTTCTTAGGTTTTCATGATTGTTACACATAGGAAATGAAAGGCTGACTGTCCCTGTTAGCCCTGACTATGGGACCTGTAGAGGGACCCAAAGTTGATAATTTGAAAAAACAAATATATGCAATTTAGATCTCAAAAAATAGTTTTTTTTCCTAAACTTAATAACAGGAAAAAACATGAAAGGCATGTAAATAATATTGTAATTTCAGGCAAACTTGGCTATATGGGCATATTCTAGTTTTTGCCATTTGATTATGTGCAAAGAGTCTGGGCTGTCTAATTCTAAAGTTATTGAAGACAATTATTATTCTACAGTTGTTGATTGACACAATTATAAAGTGCAGTAGCACTGGATTCATAAATGAAAAGAGCAATTGAAAAAAATACTTTTAAACAACTTACATCATACATGTAAGACCACTTCTTTCTCACATGGTTAAGGGTCATTGCATCGGGAAATCCTTGGTTCAGCAGAATTTGACGAAATTCCCTGTAAACATGATAACGTTTATTCTATAAGTCTGAAATCAATATTACGTAGGTAATTTGTTTACAGCTCATTATGTTTGTTATTGCCTTTTCAAAACGATTTTTAAAATTATTTTTGCATTAATATGTAATTTCTTCATTCAAATATCTTACGAAAACATGCAAACTAACGTTCCACTTATAATGACAACGTGTGTAAACAATACCTATACCATTGGCATATCATCTCTACAATTCTAAGAATTTCTTAACAACTTACTTCCAAGGTTGCTTTTTCTTTTTGAACAGCAAATCATTCTCGTATCTTAAATCCAATAGCCTTAAATTCAACTCGTGCGTCCCTAAAATAATAAGGAAAATTAGCAAATTTAAGCAAAAATGATAAAAAAAAATGGACTTTATACTCACAAACAAATGTCTTTTCTTCCATGGCCACGGTGTAGACTATAAAAGTAGTAATATAGGAATAAATTCACAAAACACTCAAGACAATTATATAAATTAATTACGGAATTTAAAAATAATTTAACAAATTACAGAAATGATGTGATGTCCTCAACCAATTCACTTTGATAACAAATGACAAGCAGTGACACCAACACAGAACAAACCATAAATGATTTATTCATTAAGTGAATAAGAAGTAAAAATCAACAATTTATGTATTTCGAATCTACTGTAAACTGTGGTATTGATTCGAAATACACAAAATGAACGATTGGAAAATGGCAACCACGAGTTGTAATAGACAACATAGAGCTACTGTCAAACAAAGCTATTTTGGTTTTGCGACTGTTCTTCAGTTTCACGTGGTTTTCCAGTTTTCGGCATGTTTTATAGAATTTTACATGAAACATTGAGTTAATTAGTAGAGAATGCTTCGCCTTTTAGTGACAAAGAATTTGTATCAAAATAGTTTTCATAGTCTTTCACTACATTCGAATAGTGCATACAAAACTTCGAATCCAGAAATAAAATGTTCGTTTTGCCGAAAAATTCTTCTAGGTCAACCGTATACAGGTATTTATAAGTTTAAAATGGAGGTCGGCTTATGAACTTAGTAGATAAAAGCTATTGTAACCGGTGTGGTGTAAGTAAATATAACCTGCAAGTTGAATTGCGTAACTTTTCGGTCTCTTTCCAGAGAGCCTTTTGCTCACGAGGCACCAGTCCACGAGGACGGCTAATGCCCTAAGATCCTCGCGAAAGAAAGCTAAGCACAAGAACTACAAAAAATATGGTGAACTTCTTGAAGGTATGTTTATTGTTTGTGTTGTTTACTTTTATTGGAAGGAGTATGTAAACAAGATTTGTGAAACCTAAATTAATATTACAGTCGGAGACAAGGCCATGACGGAAATGAAGGTGTCTATAAGCAAGCTAAAGGCCTCGCATTTATCTAAATTAGCAATAAGTCCAGTATCCCTGGGTCAACTTCATCAGCTCACAACAAAACACACCACTGCCAAGAAACCAGTCCTTAAAGAAGTAGACCCTGAGCTTCTCCAAATAATTAAGGATAAGATTTTAAAGAAGGCTGCTCCAGCTGCTAAGGAAATACTCCTAGAAGATGACCAATGTGCTTTAATTTACACAAATCATTCTGTTACTGGTGTTGATGACAGATTTAAAACTAAACAATACATAGATACTGTGAAACAGAGTTATTACAACTTCCGCAAAGCTACAATCTATGACCAGAGACTGCAAGACTTGAGATATGCAATCAATGAAGGTCTTAACCAAGAATTTGACCTTGAGATAGCACCAAAATTGACAGACACAAAGTTTGAGCTCTCCCCGTTACCAAAAAGTCCACATGCAGTATTTAGAGAATTATTTATAGATAATAATTTAGATAGTTTTGATCAAGAATTGATGAACCATATAACAAATATGCAGTAAGTATGAAATGAATAAAATGTTCATTATATTACAGTTTAAGACATTTATTTCTCAAAACTAAATATAAACATTCAATTACAATGAGAAATACATAAATATATAAGAACAAATTCATATTTACACAATGCTGTTGCATAGTCTTAAAATTTATGTTTTGAAATAACAGTGCTAGACATACACCTATGATAAGTAATATTTTATTCGTACAACGAGGGAACCATGTGGAGAGTTAGAGAGTTACAATTGAAAGCAATTATTGCCTATGCTGGTGAATTGTATTTTATATGTGGAACTTTAGAGTCATTGAACAAAAGTTTTTTTTTAATGATGTATATTTCTTTGATATGCTTCAGAAGATTGTTATACAGGTTGGCAACTTCATACTGAATATTCTTACTACCAAGCTTGGTGTGTAGTTTGTATAGGCATAAATTATGGGCATTTCTTAATTGTTTGATTTGAGTTTGAATCTTTGTAATAAAAACTACTGGAGAATAACTGTCTTTTGTCAGTATCTTTCTAATCAAAATATGTATGTGGTAATTATACATTTGTGCAAGTGTCTTTTATTTGGTTCTGTGAAAGGCAGTATTTATTATAATTTGTGTAGAGGAGACGTGAAGAACTGTAAGTCCATATTTTGGAATTTAGATGTTTTTACAAAGATTACTTTAGAATGCTAAAAATCAAGCAATGGTAAAAGACATAAAATCTTACTGTTGTTTGTTTTTTATTTAAAATATTTTATTTATATGATATTTGATTTCGAGTTCTTAGGTTTTCGCGATTGTTACACATAGGAAATGAAACTATTTGTCTGGATTTAAATCGCGTATATTTGTTCTTTCAAACAAACTTTGTTTTTTGTTTGAAAAAACAAATGTACGCGATTTAAATCTGGAAAAATAGTTTCATTTCCTATGATATTTGATTTTTACAATTATTTTAATTGTCTAATTGAGAGCCTCATTCTCTTTAAAACGCTCTGTAGTGTATATACACTATATTTATATACATATATATGTACATTACTGTTTGACATCTAAGGTTTTTACTTCTCACCAATTTTTTTTAATGCCATCTGTCCCACTGCTGGGCAAATGTGCTCCTCCACCTCTCTGTTTTACACCACGAAGATCCAGTCTTTTAGGCCACATGTCAGACGAGTTTTGGGCTAAGGCCACCACAGAATGGATCCCAAAAGATAGAAAATGGCCATGCAGCAGGCTAAAGCGTCGATAGAGAGACGAGCTAGACCGCGTGCGTCTAACCTGTTATAGCAAAATCTCTATTTGTTTAGCTTTTACATTTTAACTTAAATCAGCGTACCGGGTGTGGCCTTTACGCTACTTAGTACAAGGATAGCTCAATGAAACAACATGTGTTTACTTCAAGTACACGCACGATACGTCCGCTCACACCACTGTCTAGTGTCGTAATACAAGAACGGCGGGCTGCAGTGTAACTTATATTGTCTAATGTCTATGGTATATTATGTGCATACACTACACCGGGCACGCGGGCGAGCCCGACTTGAATTTGGTCTACGCGGCGTCCCGCGTGAGTCGTCGAGCGGAGTCCGCGGCCGAGCGGCGGCCGCGCGGTTGTATTATTCAGAGGAATTTAAATGTTGTTGCCTAGTAAACAGAATTCAGATTCGCCATTAATGTACATGAAGGCGTGGTAACTGGGCGGGCACCGCGCGGCGGTCGCGCGAAATCTTTCTCCTCGTGTAACTGGGCGCTTATAGTCATTCAACTAATCAAAGAAAACCTGATCATATTAAGGAAATCGGTTTATTTTAATAATAATAACGCACACGCTCAACATAGCCCCGCACTAGGGAAACCCTGTGTCGCGGATGCCATGGACACGCACATGGACGACCACAAATTACACCCAGTCACGAGAGAAATAAATGTAGGCCATACAAATATTCCTCCCGGCCCGGGAATCGAACCTGGGACCTCTGCGTGGCAGTCTGGCATGGTAACCATTCGGTTACAGAGGAGTTGATTATAACTCTGAAGACAGAAATTGACCATAAATTTATGTTAATTTTTTAAAGTTACTGGAAAGCATTTATTTTTATGCTTGTCACATACCGGTATGCTTATTAGAAATAAAAATATTGCTAAGTTTATTGTAAGTGATACAATTACAGTCTTAATAGTTTTTGTGTCATTCTAGAACCCAAGGCATTGCCCATCCAGCCATAGAAGATATTTATGATGACCCAACATTGCACAGTGAAATTGCTGAGACCAAAGAGGAATTAGATTTTGAACCTGTTGAACCATCTCCTATTGTCAAAAGCCTTAATACCAAGAAAGCGTAAGTATTCCTTGTGTTCGAAATGTATGTCAAATTATTTATTGTTATTTATCTCAGATTGTTTTTTTTTTTCATCTCATAATCTATTGTTGAGCCATGGGCAGTAGAAACATGTTTTAATATACAGCCTGTTATGTTATAATAAAACGTGTTGTGTTAGACCAAGGGCGTTTTCATATTGCATAGTTCGTTTATACTGATTTTTGTTGGGGAAAAAGTTATAAACTTCTTGCTCAAATATATTATTACGGTATTATAGTATCTGAAAGAGGTATAATTTAACTAATTAAGATCCTAACTACAAATATTATGGCGTTTACTACATTTTACACCACATTTTATCTTCGTCCTGAAAAATTACATAGAAATCACATTTGAGGTACTTATTTACTCTAAGACGACGATATGGAAAATTTTGTGGTTATTTTATCAATTCGCATTGGCTGCAGAAAGCTAGCAATAAAAAAAAAGAAGAAAGAAAAACGAGAGAAACGCCGTGCTAGGCAAGAGATAAGCATGAAGCACGATATCAAAGACATCGAAAAGATTGGAAAAACAGATGCTCTTCACAGATTGCTGGCTGCACATCTGCAGCTGCTTTGCTCACTAAATATGACACAGGAGGTAAGCAATACTACGTTTATTCAGTATAGAGAAACTCTGAACTTGATATAAAGTACTAATGATATTAACCAATAATAAAATTTATTTGAAATTAACTGAGTAGTACCAACTTTCGCATATGTGACCTAAATTTTGTTGTTATCGGCCATTGGGTAATCACACTAGTATACAAGATAAGCTGTATACTTAGTGTGACTGATAAGTGATAACACTTGTGAGAACAGATTTACTCAATTTACATGAAACATTTCCTGGTATTATTATAGTAATTTCCTACAAAATAATAATTTTGCAAAGTTGTTGATAACCATATATGATAAATATGGTGAATAGACAGTGAGATTCAATAGACCTTGAATTTTTTTTTAAACAAATTTAATCAAAGTCAAGTTAATAAT